TTGAGGTCATGTTTGGATCTCCAACCTATCTGCGCCACGTGAAGATGGACCGGGTCACGCACCACAGGCAAATGTAATCAGCGAGTGGTATGATGTGCAGAGCGGCGACAGAGTGCACCCCAGCGTCATCATCTGGAGCTGCGGGGCCTCCACTGCGAAAGGGGAGAGTCAAATCGATCAGCGGGAAAATTAAAAACCCTCCGCATGCCCCGAAGAGGACTCACCCAATGTTTATGAAATGGATTTTTTGTGCGGTTCATCAAGTTAGGGCCCTTTGAGGAATTTAGCATTGATTGAGAGCATCTGAAGACTCCTTCGGTAGCTTTGCCTGTCAACAGGGTGGAGCGGAAACACCCCCCATCAAAAACGGTTCCAAATGACATCCGGCCTCTTGCCAAAACCAAAAACTTTAGTAATCTGCTTCGCTAATGAAAATTACACCAAAATATTGAATTGAATGGAACTAATTTTACACAGGGGTATGTCAAGGGGCAGGGGGGGGGGGGCTGATTGGGGGAAGCGAACCCCAGGCATCCACCGTCTCGGTACACAAAGATGTCAAGGGGCATTTAGCATAACATTTGTCTGGCACGAGTAATTCATTGAGGCATCTTTTAAAACGTGCCACCAGGGGGCAGTATAATACAATCATGCAACCAAACGAAGTTTCTACAAGATGCAATAATAGTAGTGGTTCTTCACTAATGATCAAGAATATATGCATCCTAGTGGTATTTGTGAAGTCACATTTTTGTTATTTTTGCTTCTTAGTTTGGACCGCAATAGACTGCAGGTGTACCTAATGAATCGTCTGCTGCCTAGAGGTTGTCGTTTGAAGTCTAACCAGTTCAACTCGGCACCAAAGTGCCTTTCAAACCCAGCATGAATGAAACAGGAGCACGGAGAATACTCACGACACGAGGAGAGCATCCCAGCGTCCCTCGCCGCCGGTGCGCGCGTGCCAAAGCGCAGAATTGGGAAAGCCTTCAGTGTTTTTACCTTCAAAGAAAAAGCCTGAGCGCATTCATGAAAATTAGAAGAAGCCACGAGTCCGGCACTCAAACGAAATGACCCTACGGCAGATGGCGAGCGTGTGCCTCGCGCGCGCGATTGCCCTTTTACGGCAACGCGCGCGAGTGCCGCATCCTCAGAAGTGGCTCTGCTGCTAATAACAGAGCGCGCCCGGACTCCCCCTGCAGCCGTCGCAAGGGCTGATGGGAATAGTTCAAAGCGGAGAAGGCACGCCGCTCAATATTTCGACATGAGATGGGATCCAGTTCAGCACTCCCCCCCCCCAAAAAAAATGGTGACACTCCATGATGCTCCCAGCATCCTTCAAAATGGGCCGAGAGGATCAAGCCTGCAGTGCTTGGTTTGCCATAAATATTGAGACACGTGGTCCCTATAGGTACGTGCGCACTCTCGATCAAATGATTGAACAATCTTATTCCAAAGAGCCATTCCAAAGCACGAATGACAGATGGCAGTTTTGAAGCCTTTTCCTCCCGCTTCACTTTGGGGATTTCTGATCATCTCCTTGACATTCAAGATGGGCCGGCAAGACGAAGCGTACCGGATGTCTGAAGAAGAAGCGCAACTCAAGGGCTTCGCTCCGGGGAAAAAGTGGTGTAGACAAATTCTAAAAGTGTGTCCCATACTATGGAAAAGAAACTGTTTGTTGAGAAGCAAATTGCTGGTTCTCTGGAACTGCTTGCTCCGCTTATCAAGCATCACATTGTACAACCAAGTCTGATGATTATTATTTGCCTCATTGTGAAAACGTGTCTTGTGAGTTTGACCACCGATGACTTAGTAGCAGTCTGGGTGAAGATCGGCCCATTTTCGACCACGGTGTCAGGTTAGCTTCGGATAAGTGGCGCAGACTCGAATCATAAAAATCTGGCCTTTTGCCGATTTGCCCGTTGACTTGAGCAGTACGCGCTTCGGATGTTGTAGCGAGGCTAGCACCCCGGAGAGACTCAAACATCATTTTGCTGATTCAATTATTTTCATGAGATTTATATTCTGTGAGTAAAAAAAACCGAACAAAAACATGCTGGACTTTCAAAGTGGAAATGTCGACAGAGCGGTCAGCGCGCCAAACACGCCGCAGCAGCTGGTTCCCAAATTTAAAGTGTGCTTCAACCTTTGCGCGGATTTCAATGAAATTCGCCATTCTCGGGAGAAATTTTTGCAAGATTTGAAGCCGGCCTCAGCGGTGTGTCAGTCACGCCTCTTTGGTGATTTTGCATTCGTTCCCAATTTATGTGCAGAGGCTGTGTCAAAAGTCTGGACTTTTTTTTTTCTTTTTTTTTTCCTGTACCCTTGGGTTAGACATTACGGCACCAGAATCGCATTTTGAGACAACAACAAATACAACCCAGACGTTAATCTTGTTTTTTTTTTTTTTGGTTTTTTTTTTTTGCGGGAACATTGGATTCAAGGTTCTTTGTAGAAGAACATTAGCATTGGGACGTGTTCGCTTTTATGCCCGTCATTTAATCCAGTAAGAGACACAATATGGGGGATATTATCCTGCGACGGGCCCAGGAGGATCATTTTAATCCAATTGGTAGGGACAAAAATAAAGTTGTGGGCTGAGAGTGGCGCGGTGAAGCATGCGGTGGGCGCTTCTGTCTCAGTCAGTTTTTGTTTTTGGACTCAAGTCTTTCTGTATGGAATTTACATAATCTCACTCTCTCTGTTAATTGACGACTCCAAATTGCCCCTAAGTGTGAAATTGAGTCGTATCTATTGCGAATGCGAGTAGTATCGACTGTTGAGAGTTCAATGAACCAGTAACATGTACTTTTCCTTCGCCGATCAACAATTAAACCAAAATAATTTTGATCACTAAACACACAGTCTCAAACTCAAGGCCCCGGGGCCAGATATGGTCCACCACATCATTTTATGTGGCCTGCGAAAGCAAATCAAACATGTCAACTTCGACGTTGATTGCTAAAATCAGTACCAAACTTTCAACTTTTAAAATGTAATAAATAAGTGACATATTGGAAGCATTTTCTTGTTACCAAACCCCTCATGACACTAACTGAAACAATCGCTGAATGAACCATTATTCGGAGACGCTAATTTTGCGAAGGAAGCGAATGGTGCAATTTCATTTGGGTTCGTTCAAGGACGTGAACGCGCCTTCGCCCTTCAGCGTGATGTCGGAATTACCAAATTGATTATTGTGACATCTTGCTCTCTGGTCTTCTGAAAAAGAGCATTTCATACCCACAATTGGCAAATTTTTACTTTTTTTTTAAAAAGAGGAGCAGACATGCTGCGCCGACGTTGGTGGTGGCGTCGAACAAGGTTCCGATCCTGACCTAGTTGCAGCCTGGCTCTTTTGAAGCAACTCCGCATTGGCGCTCAGTCTCCTGCTGCTCTCTGAACGCCAGCCTTCAAAACGTCCCCGCCGACTTGACTGGCAGAGCTTTTGGTTGTGATTGACTGCCGAATGAAAAAGGCTAATGTCATCCTCCACATGTCGGATGTGTCGCGGAATAAATCAAGGGGAATCTACCGGAGCGATACAATGTTTGTTTTTTGGTACCGGCTGACAGACAGCTAAGTTACAAGAGCGAGACCCCCCCACCCCCTTCTCGCACTTCCTGCTGGTACTCGAGCGACGCGCCAGCACAAATTTGGTGACTTGCTACAAAAGCGAGAGCACGAAATTACCGCCGAGTGGTGCCAATGTGCAACCTTTTTATTCAACTTTCCCTCAATGGTGCAATTTAAGAAGTCGCATTGGGAAAAAAAAACACAAAAATAAAACGCTCCGAACATTCCACCCGTTGTCACAAAGACGCAATTGCATACATCCAAAGTGCGAGCCGCGGCTTCCGCGGGCGTGAAAGCAGTGAAATTAACGAAGGCCGCCGCATGTCTATGCTTCACATGTCACTTGAAAGTGACAAAGTCCTTTTTTTCGCCCCTGCTCACATTCCTGATGAAGAGTTGGAAATCGATCCCGTTGTTAAAAATATGCAAAAGAACGCCATCTGTCACTCGTCGATTGCTGGAAAAACAGCGATCATCATGTGGCTTCCATCGCTATCCGATACAAAATCGAGAAAATAATTTTGTAGATATATATATAGATTGTTTTTTTTTTATAAATCTCCGTGAGCGCCCTCGAAAATAATTCTTGAACATCAGCGCGAACTCATCGTCGCCACGTTTTGGTAACTTGTCTCATCATAAACTGTGACCAGTAAAAGATATTTACCGGTGATTGATGTGACGAAATAAAAAAAAGAAGCAACAATCGCTCAGTGAAAAAGGCAAATGATCCGCACACATCAGAGTGTAAGAAAGGCGCCCTTGACGCCTTGCGGCTCTTTGTTGACTCGTCGTTAAATCAATAGAAATGGAAAAAAAACTAATGGAACTTGAGGGATTTTACAGTCGAGGCACGCAGTTATTTGTGAAACGCCCAAGCCTAAAAATCACACATGAAAGGCAAGTTAACGTTCAGGCCCGACGAGTCAGAGTTTGGTCATTGGTATGTGCAGGTTGTTCCAAGGTCCCATCCACAACTCCTCCTCGTCCGATACGCCGTGATCGCTGTGGGCCGGCAGCGTCTCCCTGCCGTCCTTGCGTTTGTCCACCGAAGTCTCCAGCTCCTCGCCGCCGCTGTTTCTGCCGAGCGAGGATCTGCCGAGACTGGCTTTGGAAGCGGAGCTTTTCAGAGCGTTCAGGCTGGAGCTCAGCGAGCCGCAAGAGGCCCGGACGTTAAGGCCGACGTCCGCGTTGGGGGAGGGGACGCACGTACCCGTCCCGTTCTCCGCGTCGAGGCCCTCGACGCTAACGATGGGCGACGGCTCTTCGTGAGTCACCCCCAGCTTGTCCAGCTTTTTAAACTGGGAACCCACCTTGAGGTTGTTGGGGTGGGGCGTCCGTCGGGTTCGAACAATGGTGCCGTTCTGAGCGAGGTAGATGTTCCCGTTGACCTTGCCGTGGCCGCCGGGCGGTCGGCACCTCTGCGTCTCGCTGGAGCTCTCCTCTCCCGTGGAGGTGGACTCGGTTTCTCGATCGACCGCCGGCATCATTCGTTTCTTTCTCCCCAGCTGAGAAGAGGAACACGGATCAGTTTCGCGCGAGGCTTCATGCGGAATAGCACGCGGAAGAGGAGGAGGATTGCACACAGGCGCAACAGGAGCACACACTCGACACACAGCGGCGTGCAAAATATCACCAAACACGAAATTGCTGTGTCCCTTATGGATTACCGTATTTTCCGCACTAAAAGGCGGCACCTAAAAGCCTTCCATTTTCTTCAAAGCTCACAGCGCGCCTTAAAATCCGATGCGCCTTGTGTATGGTCGTTACGGTAATATTTCGACCCCAAAATGGCTCCTTGCTCGAGACGTGCTGACAACGCAGAGTTCAAACTTAAGGCGATCGGTTACGCAGTTGAACGTCAACGAGTCAATATTATAACTTGCTGTTGGTTAAGTGAACTGCGTTGCTGCTTTATTGTATATGTTTTACTGACATCTGATCGTTCTGTTGGTGTTTCCTTGAGCGTAGCTCCATCTAGTGGATGCATTGTAGATTGCATCTTATAATGCGGTGCGCCCAATGTATGAAAAAAATGACAAAATAGGCCATTCATTTGAAGGTGCGCCTCATAATCCAGTGCGCCTTTTAGTGTGGAAAATACGGTACGCAGGAATGCTGAGAGATGCCGTTCTTCTTGCAGAAAATGTCAACACGTTCAGAACTGGTAAATGGTCATGGAGCCATTCCAAGAATAATCCTGGATTGTGGGCATTCACACAATCACAAAGATCAAGAAAAGTTGTTAAAGCAAACTCAGAAGATGGGAGAGAACTTTTGCGGCAGTCAAGTGGCAGAGCGGAAGTGAGCTTCAGTGGAGCTTGGAGACACTTAGAAGAAGAAAGCACTCGAGCGTTCACTCCCGTGCAGTCGATTGCCGATGCTCTCTTACTTGACGGTGACAATTGTCTTTTTCTAGAAGGCCGTGAGGTCCCTCTCCGACTCGGAATCGCCGTCTGAGGTCGCCTCGCTTTCTCCGGTGTCTTTACTGGCCTCGGAAGCAGATTTCTCCGTGGAGATGGCGTCTTCATCAACCTCGGTAATTGCCGACAATCCTCCGTACGTCTCTTGGGACGTGCCGCTGATGCTCCTGATGTCGGAGGGGTATGGGGGGCTCCCGTAAGCGGCGGCTGGCGCTTGGCCTGCGTACGCCACGCTGGACCTTGCGGACGCCGCGCTGGACCTTGCGGACGACGTGGCCTCGTCGCTCACGTCGCCGGCTGACTCTTTGCTTTCGTCTGCGGTCTCCGATGCCGATGCTTCTTCCTCGCTCTCCTCTGTGATTGTGCTTTCCGTCCTGTGTGTCAGGATGGACTTTCGGGAGCGCAGGCTGCCGCTGGTGGACCCGGTACCAGAGGAACTTCTCTTGCTGCTCAAGGAATTCTCCTCAGTCATCTGACTGCCATTGGACGACCCACCGACGGAGTCTGAACCAGACAGTTTTCTCTGTCCGGACCCTTTAGACCAAGAGCCTTCACTAGCTGACCCTGACTCTGTCTCGCTGACTGTTCCCGTTCCCGATTCGGCTTCGCTAAGCCCCTCGCCGGACTTCTCAGACGTTAACGTGCTTGCTGACGTTTTGGTCTTTTGTGATGACCTCACACTTGAACCAGATAAAGAGGCAGATGTGCGGGTGCTTGTACTTTGACTGGTGGCGCTTCCACGACCGCTAAGGGTCCTGCTACCGCTCTCACTCCTGCTTTCAGTGGCGCTTCCGCTCACACTACCACTACCCTGTCGACTCCCACTGCCAGTGTCACCGCTCGCCTTGCTAGCCTCAGTCGCTGATGATCCGATGGATGAGCGGGCAGTGGAGCTACTGTCTTTGGTGCTCCCGGCGGTCTCTTCCTCGTCCGACTCCTCATCCGATTCTGAGACTGAGCCCTTTTCTGTTGCCGTCCCTGTTCCTTTCCCCGAACCAGATGCTTGGATGGATCCGGACTCGGAGTCTTTCTCTGTTTCCGACTCCTGCTCTGATCCAGAGTCTTTCTCTGTTTCCGACTCTTTCTCCGTCCCTGACGGCTTCTCAGATTCGGACTCTTTTTCGGATCCCGACTCTCTTTCGGTACCAGATTCTTTCTCATGGATTGATCCCTTTTCAGTTTCTTCCCCTTCAGACGTGCTTTCGCGATCCGAATCCGCCGGGTCTCCATCGGGCTCTTCTTCCGAGTCCACGGTGCTTTCGTTGGCGTCGTCCCGATCTAAATCCACTTTCAGGTGCTCCGTGTCCACGCTGCTTTTCTCCGAGGACTCCTCATCTGAGCCTTTGTCCTTCGCGGAGCTCCCGCTCGTCCCCGCTTCTGGCTCACTTTCCGTCACGCTAATGGACACTTTCGATTTCTTCTCCTCCTCGCTCGTCTGTTGTGAGGCCTCCTCATCCCTCTCGCTGCCAGTGACGCTTGCGCTCCCCTGCGACTTTCTGCGCGCCTGCAACTTCCTACCGATGTTGATTTTCTTCAAAACTTGACCAAGCTGGCTGCGAGCGCCCGACTTTCTGTCGACGGGTCCCGCGGGTGACGGCCCATCACTCAGACTCTCCAGACTGTCAATACGGCGGGCCGACATCAGTTTGGCATAATCCTTATCTTTTTGCTTGGCGCCGAACATCTTGAGCATTTTGGCTTTCTTCCATGGAGACGGGCCAGCGGCAGCAGACGCCTGCTTTCCTCTCTTGCTGACTGCCAGGAGTTTGCTGAGTTTGATGACAGATTTGAGCTTCTTGGCAGCCTTGGAGGGCTCGGCGTCAGCTTCTGGTTCAGCCGGCTCGATTCCCTCCTCATCCCTAAACGCAACCCTCTTTGGTGGACCTCGGCCCCTCGCGCCGCCACGGCCCCTTCCTCGGCCTCGCCCCTAAGACAGCGATATTCAATTCATCATCCTTTGGTACCGATGACGCCGTCACGTTGGACCGCCGCGGAGCTGGTTCAATAATAAACTATACGCACTTTATGAAAGCGACGCTTGACATTTGGATGATCACAAAAGAGCACGAGATGAGACATTTAAGGGAAGGCGGGGTACCTCGGGGCCATGCGGACTGTAGTAATAACGGTCATCTTCCATAATGGCCTCCCCATATTCATCGTACATCGGCGCAATCAACCTCCTCCGACTGCCATACTGAGGGAGGTCATACCTTTGAAACAGATCGACAAAAAACAGGAAATGCATGTCATTTTGTGCATCGGCCCAAGAGCTATGACTATTATTATGATTATTTATTGGAGAGGCTGAAAGACATTTGCTCAGCGTTGAAACGGGAATCAAGTGAATCACAAGAATGCAGACGTGCTCAAGTGGCAACCATGCGTGCCGGCAAAACAAAATCAAAATAATTCCCAAGAGCCGATTAAAACACTTGGGGATGGAAAATGTGTGGCGGTGACTGCAAGGACTTGGACTGTCGGATTACAAAACTTAAGCCTCGCCCTGTGGCGCGCCTCGCAAATAAATACAGATCAAAAGGTATCTCGTCTCACTGATGATCACACTCATTAGGCAAAGCAAATTGGCGACGCGGGCGCCCGTCAAGGCGTCAGTAGTTTCTTTCAACGACGTGAAAGGCAGCCAATTGCAGTCCCCCCTCCCGCCTCCCCCCCACCGAAGTCGAAGGAGTCACCTGCTCACGTTTTCCCAGCAGCTGTTACACTTGCGGTCGCTTGTTCTCTCTATTTCATGCCATGCGGGAGGTGTAATTGGCAACTTGAAACGCTCCCTAATCAGAAAGCCAACATCGTATTTCCATGAGCCCAACTCAAGTAAGCATAATTGATCCGATTTGAAAAGAAATGCTGAATGGGGAGTCGCGGTCATTGTCGTCACTGAGTAGGTATCAAGACATTTAGTCAGTCTCATTAAGGCGCTGCTTTTTTTTGGGGGGGGATTTTAGGAATTATCAAATCAAATGATCTGAAGCTCGCACAATTTGGAATTGGACCAAACACCTGCGACCCCAAAGAAGACAAGTGCAAAAGAAAATGAATGCTAATGTTTTACATTTGTATGACAGTTAAAAACGTTGGGGGGGGGGGGAAAATGCCGGTATAGGTATTAAAGGTTTTAATTTGGAAATATGTGAGATTTCTGCTGTTTCCTAGTATAAGAAATCAGGACAAAGCGGCGCTGGATTGTGTTTCAACTTAAAAAGAGTCTCCTGACCCAAGTCATTGTGAATGGTATACGTTTATATTTGGGGTGTGCAGCTCGACGCAAAAGATGATTTGGTACAATTCTCGATACATTTGGTACGGAACGAAGGATGTAATAATTCGATACGGATCCACACAGTGGGATTAGGATTCGATTCGATATGGTATCCCGATACCTGGGGTGCGATACCATTCAAGGATGCAACGATTTCATCAAAATCAAATTCCCCATTCGAATCCCTTTTTTGTTTGCACAGTATATTTAACTGCGATCGCTTGTTGGAGAAAGCGCTCCTCTGCTCGCAATTTGCAAGTCATTTTCCTCACTCGTAGCTTGCGATTGCCCGGCAGAATCTATATGATAGCATCTTTAGTTCTTTTCAAGGTCACTTCTGCACTTTTTTTTATGTGACGACGCCTGATTCGTTCTTTTAGAATGAGCCAAAAAGAGGCGAGTTCCAGTTGGACCGAGAAAGGAGATGAACAGCAGGTTTGCATGCTCACCCTTGATCATAATTATAGTAGTCCTGCGCGTAGTAGTCTTGGCCGGGGTCGATGCCGGACTCCATGGAGAGTTCCTGCATTTGAGAGAGAGAGAGAGAAATTCCTGAGTATGAGGAAGAGCAGCAGTGGACAAGTCGCACGTGGATCAGACAACGGGGCAAGTGAAGGGTGGGCGGGGAGGGGAAAAAAAAGGGGCAGGATTTCTACCTCGGGTCTCAGCAGAGATGGTCTCAGCAGTTGCTGATGCTGCCAGTGATTAGTGCAGGCCATGAGGAGGAAGAAGAAGAAGAAGAAGACAAAGGAAGATCGCCAGGAAAGACACAAACGGGGTTTGACAGAGTTTGAGTACTTTTGCCGCACGTCCGCAGGCAGCTCGTGAGGAAAATGATAAATCATGAAGGAGTTGGAATGGAAGATCGTAGAATTAAAACAGCGTGATGTCAAAATGACATTTAGGGACAGTGTTAAAATGTGAAATGAGAAGCACAGACCTTTGGGGGCGGGGGGAAAATAACATCATGTTTGGTGATGCTGTCGCCGTCCAATGAAAATTGATTGAGAATTCCTTGAACATTCATTTTAGATTCAAACCTTTCATGCGCACTGTAACCTGATAACATGAGAAGCTGTGCACTGTAGTGACTGCAAAGGGTATTTATAAAAAAAAATTTTTTAAAAAAAGCAACTAAAATAAGGAAGTATGCTTTCCATTATTTTGTGCATTGGAACATCTCAATCCAGTCGTTGCAAAATGGTCTTGAAATGAGAAGCACAGACCTTTGGGGGCGGGGGGAAAATAACATCATGTTTGGTGATGCTGTCGCCGTCCAATGAAAATTGATTGAGAATTCCTTGAACATTCATTTTAGATTCAAACCTTTCATGTGCACTGTAACTTGATAACATGATATACGCTGTCCACTGTAGTGACCGCTGTCCCTTATTTCGAAAAAAAAAAAAAAGCAACTGAAATAAGGAAGTATGCTTTCCATTATTTTGTGCATCGGAACCTCTCAATCCAATCGTTGCGAAATTGTCCTATTTTTCATTTGACTGCTTACCAGAATTTGAACAAGACGGCAGCAGAAACAGTCAAATGGAGGTGTCGTTAAGATGTTCCATTTTCAGAAAGCGGTCTTGTGCTTGTTCAACATTTTCCCATCATCGGAGGCGCAGCAGATAAGAATGATCGGATGAAAAGGGGCCACCTCACAACATGCACGTACTCACCTGTCTCCCGTAGCCTCGCCTCCTGTGTGCCGCAAAAAAAAAAAAAAAAGGGGGGGGGGGCAAATAATGACTTCGACTGAAATTGACATTTGCTATAAATGAAATGTTTGGTCTACGTCGATGGCGCATCTCTGTTCTGCTGACCGGTGAGGAAATTGTAGCTGCGTTTTCAAATATGCAGTTACAACGTTGCGATATTTTGGGAAAGATGCCCCGGGCCCGTTTATCACACTGGTATGGGTTAACCCCCCCTCCCCCTCCACCCCCCTCTCTTTTTATCTTCTTCAAAGATGAGCAGAAAAAAAACAATGAATGCACATATCAAAGAGAGATGGTAGATTGGAATTCAGGGAAAATTAAAAAAAAAAAACAACAAAAACCGTCTACGCAGCTATTCCTAGATAATCTCCGGGCAGATATTAAACGAGCGCGGCGATTCCGGGAGGGATGATAACTCAAACAAAGTTAATAAAAGTGTCCTGGGTTATCGCGGTGCACATATTGCGCCACATCCTTTTCGACAGGCGGCAATGCGCTTTGTGTTTTGGACTAAAATGAAGCCTGTAAATCTTCAAATCCATCACGGGGGCTGCTGCGAGCAACAATGCATCTGCAGAGCGCTCATTACAAGTCAATAGGAAACAGCCGGCGGACTGGGGTTGGCGAAAGCTTCCGGGAGCATGGGCGCGCCGTGTCCAACTCATCACGTCACAAATAACGACTTCACCGGCATGCCGATATATGACCCGACCGTTGTGGGTGGGGGAGTTTTGTCTGTGGAGCTGTAAAGTTTTGTTAGGGGCGGGCCGGCGAGCGGGCTTTGCGCGGGCCACGCCTCCCAGGCAGATATGAAGATGAAAGTGGGCTTTGATGGATGACCTCTTGGCTTTTCTGTGAGCTTCTGCGATGCTTGACCAAGCTGATGAGAAGGCCTAATGCTTGACATGATTAGGGAGGGGCATGTGTCGGCAGATATGGATATCGGGCTGTTACCGCCCTTATATGAGAGCATTGGGTGTCTGGTGGAGGCTGCCGATACCAACCACCGATACTAAAAAAGCCAAAATTAATCCAACCAGATTTTATTTTTTTTTTTTGGTGCAGCTGTTTTGCATGATGTGGTAATTAAAAATAAATACATAAATCATAAAATATATTTATTTTATGAGAAAATATTATACATTATATTTATTTCTTTATATCACTTTGAGAGAAGTTTCAGTTGTTCGAAAGGTCCCATTGTGTTGGATAAGATGTGATGTCATGTGCATCTATGAGGTCAAGTGAGGTGGGGGGGTGTCTAGGATTAATACAATATTGTCGGCCCCCTTGTGGGCTATAAAGCCACCTTGAGCACAGCTCTGGACTAATTTGCGAGATTAAAAAACAAAACAAAACCAAAAAAAACAAAAAAAACGTCAGCACTTTACCTTCAGCAATTTGATTTCCATCCAGCAGTATTTATCTATCTATCATCTGAGTATGCTCTCCGCCCACCAGCTGTGAAGGCACCGGAAGTGGCAACAGGCTCGAATTCCGATATCATTCCGATATCGACAAAACCCCCACCCCCAAAAAAAACCTCATTATCAAATATTTGTGGAAGGTAGAGGTTGGCCCGGAGATTTGCATTTCTTGTGTCAAGACTTGCTTACGGGTTCATCGTTCTTGTTATTTACTCGAGCAAAACGGCCACGGCATCAAAACAGCAGTTAGCGCTGGTTTCAGACTGTGTACTGTCGGAAATGAAAGACTCTCCACACCCCCACACCGCCCCCCTTGCTCCCCCCAATAGTGGTGCTGCAGGCAGGCAACGGAGTGAAAAGGTAAGCGATCATCCTGAGATTATCAAGAAAGGTGGTCGAGGATTGGAAGGGACTCTCTGTGTGGGAAGACGAAGGAAGCAAATAAATGGGACACATGGACGGTGAAAGAGAGCAAGAGGGGGGCATGGAGTGGGGGGGGGGGGAAGGTAAATGTACTTGACAGTCCCACAGGCAGCAGCCCTGACTCTCCGCTCAGGGATTGATTGGTTCTGTAATTAGCCTTTTCAAGTGTGCTGCACAACATCAGAGTGACGACTTTATCAAGCTGGCGGGATCGGTGCAGACATGCGAATTGACAAGAGACGCCAGAGGTCGCCTCACTCGGGATGAGCCCGCCGAGGGGAAGCGCCCGGCGTGATTGGATCTGCAACTGCAACACGAGTCGTTACCGGCTGCCTCGCTTGGTACAACGTGACATTGTCGTGTATGTTTTTTTTTTTTTTGTCCTGAGAACGGAAACTTGCAAGTGAAACAACCGGCCCCATGAATATTGCATTATTTGCTGCTCTCAAGACTCCGCGTAACAGGCCAGATGACTTCAGAGACGGGACGCAGATACCGTGATGATTATTAGACATTAAAGACATTTCATCTGTGCTGTATGTTGCGCATAGAGCACATTTGACAAAGTTGACTTGAGCTTGAACTTGAATAGAGCTCATTGCACGTAGTTTGAGTTACTTACCGCGAATACCGTCCGCGCATCTTGAATATTTACGAGTTCATATCCAAGAAACGCGGCTGGCTGCCTTTGGGAAATGCTTGAGTTATGGGTAATTCCTGGTTCTTTTGAAGAAGTGGAATAAAATAGATTCCCTTCTGGCTAATTTCACTTTTGCAGACAGGAACTGCGTTCACATCTGCAATCATCATAATTATTCAGCTCAAGATTCAATAAAAAATATGGATGGAGACTACGAGTTTGGCAACATACTTCTGGTTTAAAAGCCGAAAAAAATGATTTTGTTTTTGTTTCCTAAATATTTATTCCTATTTGCAGACGGTATATTTATATGGGACCTAATGCAGCAAAGGCAGCGAACGTGGACATTGACTCCATATGTCCCTTCCAGAGGGGGTCACCATTCAAAGTTTCGAGGTCACCGAAAACAAACCTGACGATGGCTGTTATTCAAAAACTGCGATTTGACAGAAGACAACTGTTATGAACTTTTATGGAGCAATGCAGGCCTATAAAAGTACAATCAATGCGGCAAAGCGGGGTACACCGTCTTTGGCAGCTGGCGGCTTTCAACAGCAACATAGAGAAAAAAAAACCTACACAACCAAAAATGTTGACTTGATGCCAAACTACCAGTCGTGCAAAATTCCGAAAGCGAGAAACAAAGAACATGAAAGCAAAGAGACACAGAGTGCAGATGTAAAAATTCAAAACAACGTGAAGATGAAGAGAGAGAGAGAGAGAGAGAAAAACGAGTCAGAAGACTGTGGTTTGTGACGAAGAGGGTTCGCTGAGCTCGGCAACGTCTGAGCCGTGACGCTCGGCCGCCACGTTTGGTTTGCTTTCTTCGCTTTCGGCGGCGTTCACGCTTGAGCAGATTTGGACCGCAGAGCCGCGAGCGTCGGGCTTTGGCCCGCTCCGCTCGGCGCTGAGATCAAACTCACGCAGTTTGTCAGCACCCTCCGATTCCTCAGTCACTTGCGGTTTCTTGTTAAACTTGGGCACCTTGCAATTTTTGTCGACTTGGCTGTACAGGTTGGCAACAGACCTCTCGATGTCGGCGAGATTCTGGAGGTTTTTAAGGATCCCTTTCAGCTCCCGCTTGCCGGTCTCTGCCCGCGACGACATGGCGGGGGAGTGCAGCTTGCGTTCCGCAACGGGGCGAAGCGAGGATGCGGGCGGCAAAGATGTCGGGACGAACTGAACGACCGGGCGGATCTGGTCGATGGAAGGTGACGGCGGGGGAGGGAGAGGCGGCGGAGGTGGCGGGACAAACTCTTTGTGTATTTGAGGAGGAGACACCTGAGAGTGAACATGAGTGGGGGGAGAGGCCTGATTGCTACCGCTAGATTTATGAACGTCAGGGGGGGAGGGTGGAAATGAAGGTGGATCAGGGCTCGGGGAGTTGGAGGGCGAGGGCGGGGACGGGGGACGCTCCGGGACGGGAGGCGGCGGGTTTTCCGGCGGGTCGGGGATGATCTCCACGTGGATCTGACACGGCTGCGCTGTCACGTAATTGGAGATGCAGGAGCTGAACTTCCTGAGGACGGGCGGAGTGGATCTCTGGTTCGGCAGGGACCACGACTCGTCTCCCTGGGTGACAACGATATTTGGGGGTACGTCCCTGCCAAAGGATGAGGGGTAGTCCATGATTGACAGGAGGGCATCCGAGGACACCTCCAGCACGTGAGTGCCGTCTTGGTCCCTGACAAGTATCGGGGACGGTGAGCCTTGGCTGTTTTGCAGGAGGGCCTGCTGCTCAAACTGCCTGGCTTGCTCGCGAACGGACATTTTGGTTTCGAAGCTCCCACTCAGCGCGTCAATGCCGGAACCTTCCGTTTGTTGCCCGCGTCTCACGGCGGCTTGGAGGATCTGCAGTTCCCAGTCGGACGGGTCCATGAGCGCCTGCCTCCGAGGCGCCTCATTGGCTTCGGCGTGAATACGAGCTGGCATCGTCCAGGCGCAACCTGACCATTCGGAATACGGAGCCGAAAAGGAGAAGCCATTTTTGGGAGGGCGTGTCCTTCCCGAGAAGACGTCAGGGCTGCCCAGGTGACCGTTGTCATTGTACACAGGGTTGTGGGTGGTGAGCGGGTTGCGGTCGGAGAGGAAGGTCACGTTGCTCTCCGACTTGGGCAGGTTGACATGAAGCGCTCCGTTGCTGTGGGCCGCAAGGGCGCGACAGGCAAAGGTACTAAGAATCCTTTGGTGGTCGGCCTCCTCAATGACAGACTTTTTAGCCCTGGTCCGGAGAGGGTGGTGCAAAAGAAGAAGGGGGAAAAAAAGACTTGAAAACAATTGACAGGGAAGCTTTCAGGAAGGGAAAAGCTGAGACGAAAGGGGCAAGGAAAAAACGCTAATGTTTGATTCCAGGGTTACGAGTTATGACGGACTATTTGACTAATCTAAAAGTAGCATCTATTCAAATTGCCAAAAAAAAAAAAAGCCAAAAAAAAACCTACAGTGGAATTGTGTGAAATTATTTTGCCACATTGTAAAAATTGGTAGTTGGCAATTGTAAGATACAGTACAGAGGTACCGTTTATTTAAATCTTATATAAAGCACAGATCCTTTTTTTTTTTTTTTTTAAAGAAAGTCCCACCCTTGGAATGGATTAACTCTCCTTCCATTATTTCTTATCGGGACCATTTTTGTATCAAAAGTTGCCACCCGTCATGGATCATCTGCAACATTTGAGGATCTGCTTCAAAAGCTGCATCATTCCATACTGGAAGGATGCGGTGTCATTGCCCAAAACACTGCGAGATGTGAGGGGAGGACGAGATGAAGCAGAGACTCGAGGAGAATCCTTTGGATACGTGGGATAAAAGGCTTTCCCTTCAGGTCCACGTAACAAAAAGGTCACGCTAATCAAAAGCATACCTGAAAGCTATCAGCTACAAGGGGAATCGAGGCTCCTGTGATAGGTTTTGTGAATTTTTGATGTGGAGATTACTTACTGCAGTCTGAATCCATAGAGACGGGGGGGAGAGGAAAGACATGATGGCAAGGACAGAAAACACAGACAGATGGTAAGATGAGCAAGGCAGAGACCGGATGTGGGTTTCAATACACAAAGGTGTGCGGTAACACAAAGGTGATGTGGCCTCAGGACCACTGGTGACAGTTGACAGAATGCGACGCTTAATACGTCGCTCCGGAACAAAGTGGAGCCATGCGGCGTCAGGCTTTTTCACGTTCTGTGACTGAACAATGGACAGATATGCCACGAGCAAGCCTGCCCACGACCGAGGGGCTTCACACGCCCAAACGTTTGGATCCCGCGGGAGTCGAGCAAAACCAATCAGAGAGGTTGCAAACCAGCTGAGAAGCAGAACGTCGGAGTAACTTGAAAACAAACCCCCGAAACAACAAACTTGCGTTTTACTGCGCCGACAAATTGGAAGAACCTTCACCATGTACTTTGCTAATATTTTTACCCTCAGAAAACACAATATTGGATCGGCCCACACACATCTAATGCGACAACAGCTGTTTTACATAACTCAAGTCATTCAAGAGATAATAATGCTCAGTTTTGATTGACACTATTGATAAGACTATTGGAGAGGTTGCCGTTTGCGGTGGTGAATGGTGTGTGTTTCAAATAGCTAGCTAGATATAGCCAGCTAATGTTTGAAATTGAGTTAGCTAGAAAGCTAGTTAGCTATGGCATAGCTATCTATCTATCTATCTATCTAGCTAGCTAGCTAGCTAGATAGTGTATGTGTTTACTGCTTAACTATGACCCCATGGGGATGAATAAAGTTTTCTGAATCTGAAAATCTGAAAAAAAAGTCAGTTTCTACCCACACGAGGTAAATGATTGACATTTCTGTCAACAGCCAATAGAAAAATTGACAAAGTCAGTTTCTACCCACACGAGGTAAATGATTGTAGGTGAGGCTGACAATCTAAGACATCACTATGAATAGTTTTGAAAGAAAGGGTCAAAACGTAATGTGTCATTTTTGTTTTGAGTGAGTGAGATTCCAGGAGGGGGTAGTGGTGGTTGTATTTACTACCGAATAGGATGTTGTTTAAAAATAGGGGTGAGGGGTGACTCACATGCTGCCATCCCCGAGCTCTTCGTAAAGGTTGGCCCCCACAGCGCTGGTGGGTGCTGCCTTGCCTCCCGGCGGCAAAGCCATTTGAATCCTGGCGGTTTTGGCGCACTCAGCCTGCCGCCTATTTAAAGAAAGCATCGACAGTTTCCCAGCAAATAAACGTTGTCAGAGCAAACACATTAGATATTAAAAGCATATTAGTGTGTGGGTATTAACCATAATCAGGAAGCTCAGCTGACATTAAGTGGATTCCGCCTTTTAAAATTAATGAGCTTTCAAGCATGAAAAGAAACTATTTGTTGTAAATGAAACGTTAACCTGCTTAGCCGTGAACACTTTATTATGTCACCACAGACATCAATCAGTGTGTGTTCTGTGTACCGTCACACCAAATCCGATTGAAATAGCTCATGAATGATTCACAAAAGGCAAACCTGCACCACTTACTTGATCTTTGCAGCTGCAGAATAAATAACAGAACTTTCAAAAATCAGTAACGGAAATAATTACTTACTCTTTGAACCTGATGGAGGACAATCGGAAGGGAGGAGCAAGACAGGGAGGGAGAGAGAGAGAAAAAAAAGTCATTGGCCATTATTTTTACTCAAATTCAAAAATGGGGGCAGGCATCTGATGTCCACAAATTGTATATAACGACTGACCTGTATGGGAAAAAAAAATTCTAATTGTTTTTCAAGAATATGAGTTGTGTTTTAGTTCACGCCATAATATCAAATCAATGAATCCCGTGCCCATATTTACCCTATGTCCCAATGCATGGACAACAATAAACACTCCAAAACCTAGCCGGCTTCCATGATATCATACCCCAAAAGGCATGCCATTATTTCTTTGTGAATTTGTGTGTATCTGCGACATGATAAAGTGGCACGACGACACACTTTGACGGTCACAACCGAGTGTAGATATTTGTTACAAATGAGCAGTCATTAATTTGCTTTCCCAAAAGCGCCATCGCGGCGATGAGGCCAGCAGAGTGCGCAGTCAGCATGAGAGCAACAAGGACTCGATCTGAATGTTCTTCCCATTATTTGTGATCCCGGCAGAAAACTGGCGCGTTGTACTCACTGCTTGTACGTAACCATGACGATGAGGATGGCGGGGATGCAGCAGAGAATGATGATGATGGCGAGAGCGAGGAGAGCCCCCTCCGTGTAGCCCACGGCTTGGGCGGCCTTCTTCACGCTTGCCACGATGTCCGGCGAGCGGATCTCCAGGATTCGGCCGCCCTCGCCCAGGTAAGGCTGGAACTCCTTGTTGATTTCCAGAACGTTCCCGTCGAGAAATCTACATTGAAGCACAAGCGGGTGTTGCAAATAAAACACTTTGCCTTTAACACAGACTCCATCGAAAGGGAATGATACTGTCACCTCCTTTTGCACTGTGTATGTAGAATAATAGTGGCACGTCGGGCTGCTCAGATAAAACTGGATCTGAATGACCTGTTCCCATTTATTCAGACAGGATCCTTATGTACTGTATGTACGGCGGGGTGGATGGGTGGATTCGATCTGTCCTCAACTGTCAACCAAGGACCTGTTTTACCCCGATAGGAAGAAAAATGTCTTTCGATGTGTTGCTGTGCTAGAAGGTAAACGTGGTCCCAAAAAAAAAAAAAAAAAGCGTAATCACGCTGTCTCAGACAGATGCTGGGAACACGAGAACAAGGCCTCGACTGATACGTTCTCTAAGAAAACAATTGGTATATATTTCTGGCGCATGCTCAAGCCCTTGAAACAATTGGCGATGCTGTTATATGTAGTTGTGAAAGGGAAAAATAAATGGGACCAATCTTTTTTGTGGGAAAATAGTGTGGGCATGAAATGTCGCAAATGACAGTCATTGGCAACGAGGGAAAATTGTTTCGAGAGTGTTGCAGAGGTAAAAAAAAAAAAAAGAAAAAGAAATCTTGTATCGGCGCTTGTTTTGAGAGCGAGTGAGAAAACAGAACTGAAACGTATGCACCAAGTACAAATCAAAAATAGAATAGAAAATAATGTCATAAATTTGTTTAATTTTTTTTGAGTTAGTTGTTCAGGTTGGTTTTTGACATCAGTTTATTTTTCTTGCCCAATGAAAAATTTTGAAATGAGAAAAAAAAAAAGAGTCTGAAATCCACCACCGCCACTGAATGGCAACTGTCAGGATTCTATCGTTTAAAAGGGCCTAAGAGCAAAACGCCACGGAGCTCATGAATAGCTGCTGCTCGATGGACTGAAAGAGCCTCAAGCAACCTGAGCTGACTGGAACAGGGAATGCAAAAAAAAAAAAGGCAAAAATAATCTCAGCGCCTTACTTGAAGAGCTCCTGGCGCGAAATGGCCCTGTTTGTAAGCGGGTCGATGGCGTACACCATCAGGTCCGACTTGCTGTAGTCCTCCAGCTCAAAGCCGTCACCGTGGCGACGCGGCCCGATGGCCTCCACAATCACCTTGGCGCCGGGGATCTGGTCCTGGACGTGACGCTCCAGGATACTGGAAATTGCCATAATGCAATAAAAAAAAAAAAAAAAAAAGGTGGGGTGGAAAATGCAACAGAGCGATTAGAAAAGACATCAGACACCCATTAGCTTCGGAATCAATTAACCGTTTCTGGCACGGCCGATCCAGCAAATCTGGCAACGATCGTGCTGTGATTTGGGCCCCGATGATCCTTTTTCGGGCAGGAAGAGAAGGATGCGAGTTGCCTTTGCCAACGCCAATACAACGGCCCCTGAGATGTGCCTCTCTAGGTCAAAACATGTATGAGGGAGACACGGTGAGCGATTGAAAATCAGTTAACACCAGGTTGCCTTTCACGTTGCCTCATTAGGCCAAAAAACGGCGAGTCTCACCAGGTGCCAAAGGAGGTTCCGCCGAATGGCTGTCATTAAATAATTTGGACGGGGACAGAAGAGACTGTATCATCCCCCTCGAGTGGGTCATCGAGCAAGGCCTTCGCTCGGCTGATTGATATTTATTTAAGAGCTGGAGAAGAGTTTTAGTTTGGCGAGTCGGGGTTATGACGAGTCATTTTTCCGGTGGCAAATTTATAAGGTGAATTAGGAGCCTCCTTAAAACTAATCTGCCTCATATCCTTGCGGGCGGAGCCGGTGGAGAAAGTGCAATTTGTTTTTTGTTTTCCGCCAGGCGAAGCTATCTATTCAAACAAGGAAAACAATTAACTGGAAGTCACACTGGAGGGCGAGCAAATGTTCTGGAAAATAAAATACTGATTGGATCGAGGGCGGATGTGGCGATATGATGCATCTGCCGGAACGTGTTCGCCGTCCCTCACGGTGCGGAAACGTATCCTCGTAAAATCAGGACTGAGATGATTTGAATTTTTAAAATCAATGGCATTCGTTTTGTTCTAATTTGGTGGCGTTACTGTTGATTAATTGTGGAATCGTTCATGAACAAAGAACAACGTGACGTCAGCAATGGGGAAACTGAGCTATTTGTACCAACCAAGCCTCTGCCTTCGAAACAGGAGTTCAGAACCTTGAAAGAGAGAATCTCCCATCCCATTAAGAGTGATTGTTCATTTTACTGCGAGAAAGAAGTTAGCCAAATGCCTGTCTCATACTCTTGCCTTTGTGGTGCGGTTGAGCATGCGGTTAATGTGCCCGCCTCACAGTCAAAAGGGTCTGGGTTTGAATCCTACCGTGGTCCTTTTCGCGTGGTCTTTCGACACGTTTCCAAAAACCACGCATGTTGGATTAAAAAAAATGAATGCAATTGAGATGAATTCGAATGGCTATTTGAGATGATTTGAATCCTACCGTGGTCCTTTTCGCGTGGTCTTTCGACCCATTTCCAAAAACCACGCATGTTGGATTAAAAAAATGAATAACATTGCAATGAATCTAAATGGCTATTTGAGATGTGCGCACAGAGTGCACGCAGAAAACGGACGGCTGGGAAATGCATCCTCACCTTATGAGTTGGTCTTTATTTTCTTCGACCAACGTGGGCGGGACGGTTGACACGATAACTTGCATGTCCAACGCGTTGACCACAGACACCTGCGAGCCCCACAGTTCAGACGAAATCAGTCGGAAAGAAATTGAAAATATCAGGCACCGTCAAATTGCCCACTTGCAATAAATGCCGTCGGGCAATTGGCTGACGACCGGTCCGGGACGTTCCCAGCCGCTCACACAAAAGTTAACTAGCATCGTCTGCAGCTTCCCCTGCGACAACTCTAAAGGGAACAAGCGCTGATGGATGGTATTAATGCCATGTGGTAAAATCATTCTGATGCAACGTTGGATTAAAAAAATGAATAACATTGCAATGAATCTAAATGGCTATTTGAGATGTGCGCACAGAGTGCACGCAGAAAACGGACGGCTGGGAAATGCATCCTCACCTTATGAGTTGGTCTTTATTTTCTTCGACCAACGTGGGCGGGACGGTTGACACGATCACTTGCATGTCCAACGCGTTGACCACAGACACCTGCGAGCCCCACAGTTCAAACGAAATCAGTCAGGAAGAAATTGAGAATATCACGCACCGTCAAATTGCCCACTTGCAATAAATGCCGTCGGGCAATTGGCTGACGACCAGTCCGGGACGTTCCCTGCCGCTCACACAAAAGTTAACTAGCATCTTCTGCAGCTTCCCCTGCGACAACTCGAAAGGGAACAAGCGCTGATGGATGGTATTAATGCCATGTGGTAAAAGCATTCTGATGCAACCGAATATATGGAAATATTTGGACACAGCAGGTGGAACATCTACAGTTTGAATTGACGTCAATTTAAAAAAAAGAAAAAAGCAGATGCGATCTAAAAATGTTTCATTCTGGATGTTGTCAAGCATAAAATGTCCAATCTGTTAGGGTGGAATATCCATTCATAATAAAAAGCTTTCAGAGGTTCTCAGTCGATAGTCAGCTTGGTAAGTGAATCGTGTTGCTAAGCGAAGAGCCACCATGTGCTCATTACATGCGACCTCTTTTAAAATATAAAAATCAAGAGCAAATATTTTTCTAAATCTCAAATATAAACAATCAGGCTTCTTCTTTGGGTCTTTTTCTATTGTTCCAAACAAAAATGAGTTCATTAACAACACCGTCCGTTAGAAAAAAAAACGTTAGCCTCAAGCTGTCCAACCCCAACGATCACATCAAGTCTATTTCCCGAAAGCGGAGACTCACCACCACGTCAGCGTTGCTGCTCAGACCCTCGCCGTAGTCGTCGGTGGCGATCACCTCAAAGCTGAAGTAAGACCTGCGCATGTTTCGAAACATGATGGCCGACTTGATGACGCCGGTGTACGTCTCGATGACAAAGCTGTCCTGGCCTTCCGCCGTCGGCGGGATGATGAGACGGTACGCCATGGCGCTGAAGTTCCCGGTGTCCTGATCGGTAGCCTTAAAAAAGAATAATAATAATAAAAGCACAGTGAAAATGCTCTTAGTCTCTTTCTGGGCACTAACTGTTTTTTTTTCCCCCCCTGCACATTCCACTACTTGTTCTTCAAAGTTTTGTAATGAGGCAAAAAGTCCAATCCTTGGAAAGCATTCATTCAAGAGAAAATTGATTCCAATTGGGAAGGCCAAAGAGCCTCCCGGAACGGATTGCATTCGATTTGTGAGGGCCTGGCAATTCAATGATCTGAAGAGTTGGGGGGGTGGGGGGTGGGGGGGTTACAGCATTGATTATTAATTCCTCTATGTCGTACGATGATGTCATTATCAAGGAGGGGATGGCGTAGAAAAACAAGAAGAATGAACAAAACTAACTTGGAGCTGTTTAAAACAAAAAAAAAGAACATTTAGACTCCAAGTGATGGAGATGGAGATAATTGCTTTTTCTTTTCTTTCTGATGCAGGTGCCGAGGCGATACATTAAGTGGCTGACGGAAAAGAGTCGCAGCCGCAGGCTTCTTGTGTTATCTCCATCACACGTAGTTCCACCTGGCTGCTGCAAAATTGTTCCACCGGGACTTTTTGTAATAGATTACTAAGAAGCCTATGTTTCCTCTTATGATTAAATTCTACCTCATGCATTTTCTCCGCTGGTCATTTCGGTTTTCAGAGAAAAAGTATCAGGCAGGATTAAAAAGCATCTTCAAAAGAAGCGTACAATTCATAGCCAGCCTACACTCCATTAAGCTAGTCCATCTACTAAATGTGATGGAAAGCGAAACCGTGAAAAAAAAAAAAAAAAACAAAAACCGGGCGGCACAAATTCAGAGTGGCGGTTGAGCTCAAACAAAAGACATCAATTCTCGCCCGTGTCGCAAGTGACACTGATAAATAGCGGCAATCTCTTCTTTTCCTCCTCCTTGTTATTGATGGAAGAGTGGAAGAAGCGAGAAGGCCTCACGGAGGGCCACAGACATGCCAGGGATTAAGAATTGAGGAAAGGGTGCCAATCGGTGCCATCGAGGGACGATGCAATTTGACTCATGACTTTGACGATGAAGACTAAATGCCATGTGCTGATAAAAATAAAAAATAAATGCAGTGCAGATCGGTTTCAGTCTGAAAAAAAATTAATAAATAAATAGAAAGTAAAGAATTTAATCATTTTTGCTACATGTTTCAATGGCCATTGTGCTGCTCCCTCTGGTGTGTACGCCTTGGCCACATGGGGGCAGTGTAACAGACATCTGGCTCGTACATGAATCTGCCAATCGCAAACGCTCAGTAAGCTGCAGTAAAAATGTTCTATTATGTTCTGTCTACATGTGTTGCGCCGATGCTATTTGTTTTCTGTTTGATGGCATTTTCGTATTGTTTGATAGCATGAAGCGAAATGGAATCACGGCGGCAGTAAAGTTCAACTGAGGGCAACAGTAAACAGCTTCAAGCTTCTTTTTTGAAGATCTGTTCCCGACCTGACGCTGCTGCCATTTGGTGCTCGAACGGTAATCGCCCAAAAAGATGCTAAGATTCATCTTTACGTGCCTTAGTCGTTGCAGCCATTTTGGTTAGCTTCCAGTCCAAAAGGGCTGGGCAGTTCATTCTTGAACAGGCCGTGTGTGAACAACAGTGTCAGTGACGTGACATGATGACATTTCGAGGCCTCTCTTTGGGGAAAAACTGTGTAGTTTGAAAAAAATCTATGTTGTGAGGCCAGTCCTGAAACTTTTCTAACACATTTAGTATAGTAAGACTACCATCAAAAACACGATACGCATAATGTAGACTGTATGCAGCATGTTTTGTGTGCCAAAGACAAGTCGTCTTGACGGCAAGGCAGGATGTCCGGCCACGCCTCTGTGAGCAGGACATCGAGGGGGAATGACAGTGAGGCAAATTGTGTTACGGGTGATGTGCGGGTGGACAGAAAACTGCTGCAGAGGGGACGAAGGCCGGGTAAGCGTTGCGGCGGGTTTGGCGGGGTTGAAGGCACGCTGATGGGAAAGCGAATATTTTTCCTCACCACTATCTTGAGCACGGAACTGAAGATCTTGGTGTCCTCGGTCACGCCGCCTATGTAGAGCTTCCTGGTGAAGACTGGAGGGTGGTCGTTCTCGTCGCGCACCTCCAGGAACACCTTGGCCGTGTTGGCTGCGACAAGACAATACAGTGAAACTCCTCTCCAACGAAATCATGTTTGCAGCAAGACATTTTTCACAACAGGGGACTTTTCACTGTTGCAAATTTTATGATTCATAAACAGTTGAAATGTATCCAAACTTTTTGATTCTACCAACGCCACCCATTTGCGCAAGTCTTCCGACATCATGACATGACACATCGGTTACTCGCTCCCTCACTGATGGGCCCCCCCATCTGCCGCCCGTCACTGACGGCTGAATCAACACGTCCCGAAAGATAATCAGAACCACCGTTGATCGAACGTTGCACCATTTGAAGTGAAAATGCTCGCGTCACTCTCATTTCGCCACGCTCGTCAGCTGGACCGCCACTTGAAATGACAAGGATGAAATCATTTCCCGTGACACACGGCAGGCATCTTATTACTGAGAACATTCTATGTGCTTCGCTTAGTAGTACATATTTGATGGGAGGGGGGCGGGGCACACGTTTTTTGCGTTTGACCATTATCACAATCCAAATGTTTGTACGCCGGAATATTACGTCATGTGGAAAAGAGTGCACTATGGAAATGTCATGGGGGGGGGGGGGGTCAATGTTAAGAAAAAGTATTTACATTACATACATGTTGTATATACATACAGTATATACATCATCAATGTGCCTGTATTAAAATCACAATTGTTAACGATGATTTCTGATTAAATACAAGTTTCACAAATGCTAAATAAATATCAAGACATACATACGGGCGTTCTCTCAATTTTGTAGGCTTCTGTTGCCGTTTTGACTCATTAAAAAGTCAACATGTGGCAGCTCAAGTCTGCGCCTCCCATTCCATGGTCATTTTCATCCGTATTTCTTCAGATAGTTCTTAAGCCGTTAAAAAGATTGGTGGCCGCCCGCGGCAAGCGGCGACGTGCTCTCATCTTAGTTGGAGATTGCTTCTAAGAACACGCGAGCGCCAGGAGCTCGTTTGGTTTCATCCGAAGGCATTAAGAGTCAATAATGAGGCCGAGTTGCTTTGATCAATGACGACATTACGCGTGTGAGAAATGCAGAGCGGAGCCCCGGCTCTCCTCTTGCCCCCAATAAGCACATCAGGAAATCAACAATTGAAATTCGCCGAGCAAACAGTGGGGATGTTGAGTTCTCAGTGAACTCGTCAAAATGATGATGAAATATTATCCGAGGCGAGCGGAGGTGTAACTCTAATCCATCTTGAAAAACTTTACGCTAACTAAAACTTTCGAGAGGCCATCATTAAAAAAAAAAAAAAAATGCAAATAACGGAAAGAATTATTTGACGGTCAGCCCAAATCAGGCAAAACAAATTGAGCGATATAGTTAAGAATTTGATGAAGTATGTTGCCAAGCTTGTTAATCAATCATCTTTTCCAGTTGAACTAAACAGGAAATGCAAATGCATTTTTTTCTTTGCGGTGCAAATTTGCAAATCACCAACTTCATTTGGAGTCTCTTGTGAAAATTAACAAATAACTAAAAAATATTTGACACTAATGTATTTATACTTTTCCGCTCATAGGCCACGCCTCCTGGCTGACGTACGGCGTAGCGCGCGGTTACGACCAGATATCTGTGAAAAGTGGAGATGAACAAGCACTTAACTGAGGCGCGCTAGCTGAGTCCATTTGAAATTAGCTTCGCAATTAGCTTGGCCCCTCCTTTCGTCAGAACGACATTTGTCAGAAACGGAGCTTACTCGCCGCCACGGAGGCAATGATTAATGACTTTGGAGTAATTCTGCAATGTGTGCAGCTGTAGCAGTAGCCAGCCGACGCTTGTTATTAGCTAGCTGGTACAGCATATGTAGCGCCAAGGGACGCCTCAACTTCCGACTACTACCTATGGCGGGTGACGTAAGCAAAGCAGCTCAGCAAAGCTTTTTTTTTGGGGGGACGTCTCGGTGCTTGATACTCAGTTTTGCTATTGCGTGTGATTTGATAAGGCGCACAATGCTAATTTGATGTTTTTCAAGCCTTGAATTATATACACTGGCAAAAATCTATTCACCTTTCCAGTCTAGGTTAGGGGGGAGAAAAAAAATCCTGTCATATCCCATTTGTCTTCTTCTGGCATGCAAAAGTGTAAAGTCATGTTGCATTGGAGCGCAGGGAGCGCCAGGGGATTTGGACGCACACCGACTGCACATCAGATTACAGCCACAAAAGCTGTGAGACAGAGAGGAAGGACCCTCGGGGATGCGCAATGAGGGTCCGTTGACTTTCTCTCCTGCTCTTCCCCTTCTTCTTGGAAACATCGACTCTTTCCAACCTGTCCTCGCCAGGATTTCGAATGGAAATGATGCACTGTGCAGGGGTTTACCGGTTTAAAGGCCCACAAGAAGCTCTCTTCAACAACAGTAAAAAAGTCCCGTCACCGCGGTAAACAAATTGCTTTCATAAAACGGCATGTTCACCACGAAGTCTGTCGCTGGTCTGCGCCTACACTGCATGCCAAGGCTTTTGATGCGTTTCCACGGGAACTTTTTCAAATCGCCGAACGGTGGTGATGGAACCACTGATTTATAGGCAAGTGGAAGCCACAGCGTCACTCACAGAGGTACTCACTTGGAACTGCCTATAAGTACTTTGAATATATTTCAGCAGTAGCCTATACGGAGTACCAATACTTGATAAAAAATATTGAATCAGAAATTTTAAATTTAAAAACGGATAAAATACATGCAAATGTGAAAAAAATACGTGCTGTTAAAAAGGCAACGCAACTATATTTATTGATGTCACATTTCATACATTAAGACAACTCAGTGTGTTTAGCAGTGGCCCATTTTGTGAATTCAACATCACCGTGACCGACAGCCACGTTGATGAGAAATAAACAAACCACGGTTTGAAGTTGTTTATTGCATGTCCCAGCTACACTTAAACTTTGAGTGATTATTGATCTACGTCTCGGGTGTCAAACTCATTTTAGTCGTGGGCCAATTTGGAGTTCCGTCTTCCCTCGGAGGGCCGTTATGACAGTGAAACCACAAAATTATTACTTGTACACAACAAATTAAGAGATTACTAGTTTTGAAATCAGTCAAGTCAATTTTAATAGTTTGTTCAATTATTGCCCAATTGAGTGTAAACAAGGTCACAAAATGATTGCAAAATCTCAACGTTATTCATGACACATGACAATTTGACAAATCGGGACAGATTTTAGTAAGTTGACACATGATTTCCCAAATAACTTGATTGGCATGTTTTGCTTCTGACATATTCGACGCTATGTGGTTTTTCAGTTTCCCCTATTTTGAGCTGAAAAACCGACTGCTCCGAACCAAATACAGTTGAGCAGAGCGCCATGTACGACTGTCAAGATGCCTCTTAAAATTGTACTTTCAGTTTTGATTTTGAATGATTTTACAGAGGAGAAAAAAAAAAAAGTCATTTAAAGTCAAAGTCATTCACAAGAAGAAAGACGCGTTTGCCGCCGTCTGATCACGATTGTATTAATGTGTCCGTTTGATGGTGCTTTGCCAAAAGAGGACGAAATGTCAGCGGACGTATCTCGACGATGAAAGCCCGCAACGTTGACTCTGCCAGATAAGACACAAGCGTACGGATCTGCGGAACTGTTGATCTACGGATCTGTAATTCCCGTGATTAGCATTTGAGAGATGAACCGAGGCAAAGCAACGTGCAGTAGGTCATCGATTATTCATCGGGGAACGTTTGTTTCGAACACTTGAGTCGTTATTAGCTTTCATCAGCAAACTGTGAACCCGTTGATGGATTCTGGTTGAAATGCGGACGTCAAGCCGTGAGGTTTCAGCGTTCCGATGACGGCAAAGTTTACTTTGACTAGTGGAAAATAAACAACCCCGCGAGGAGTCAAAATCCACGATTTTGAATGCCAAGCCGAGCGTCAAAATTCAAAATTAGCCAATATGTATGCATCGCGGGTGAACAAAGGCGGCCGACTGACAAGTGATCATCAAAGCTGCTTTTCAAGAAGCAGCTGCCAGAGTGGACTGGAAAAAGACGTCAAGTATGTCATCCGCCCCGCCGAAAGCGGTTAGTTTGAAGCAAACGGAAACAGAACAGGTAATCATGCCAGACCGTCGACGTGTCAGCGAATAGATCATCTGCAAGTGCGGAAACTGTGACACGTTTTGATCAAATTTGGCAGGATGTCACAGAAAAAGATCGCATCAGTATGATTAAACTTTTACTAGCCTCGGATGGTCAATTTGATTTTGTGCAGTACAGCAAACATAATCCCCCCCCCCCGAATCTGCATATCATCGACGGCCGCACAAAAAAGGTTTGTAATTGAGGATAATGCCAGATGAGAGCGCCGCACTTTTTTTTTTTTTTTTTTTTTTTAGGTTAGCAAGCCCACTGTTTTGTTTTGCTAGGTTGCCCTTTTGTTACGGCTGCAGCTGTTGCGAAAGCGCCGTCTAAAAAAGGATGCGTGGCGAGTTGAGTTGCTATTTTTATTCAATTGCTGTTGGCAATTAGGGTTTTTTTTTTGTGTGTGTGAACAAACAATTAATTTACATCTGCGACTGGTATGACTGCTACGTTAGCTTCCCGCGCAAGTCGCCCGGGGGCTAGCTGTCGCTTGTCACTCGTGATCAAAAGATGAAGTGCTGTGTGTGTTACATGACATGCATGAGCGACTGAATACGCTTTGAAGTCAAGAAGAGACTTTTCTGTTTTTCAATTTCTGCAGATGCTGTCGCTGTACGGCAATAATAGATATATCTATAAAATGCTCCTATAACGTATGTACATTTTAGTCGTCAATAGGACTCAAATCGGTTTTGCTAGAGTGAATCCGTGCATGTTCCATACCTGGTGAAGATCTGCAATATATATCAATGAAGTTCCTCAACTAACTTCAACAGTTCCTTGGCACCAAGATGCCAACAACTGGCGTCAAAGCAATATTGTTATTGTTTGTGTCAAGGTCATTTTGTTTTATTATTTTGCCAAAACATTTAAAAATTACTTGGCTTATCCTATTAGGCTGGCAATCGTAGTTTCATCCCAGTGGGACTATAGAAGAAAATAGGCCCACGCATATGCAAACACATTCCCAGACGCACGGTTCTTACTTTTCGAAGGGACGCGCAAGTTGGACATGACAACCAGCAGCGAGTCGGCCTGCACCCTCAGGACGTAGCTGGTCACATTTTCATAGTCCAGCGGCTTGGCGGTGGAGATGACGCCCGTTCTGTTGTTCACACGGAAATGTCCTGCAAGCAAACAAGAGCGCGGCCGTGTGAGGCCAACTGAAACGGACAAAAAAACAAAAAAAATCGGGCAAAAAAAATAAATAAATATCATGGATCGGGCAGGGGCGGGAAGTGGGAAAAACAAAGGTATCACCTTGGTTCAGTAGTCAACTTTTCTATCCAAAGGTTACCTCAACTTTAGTAATAATCTTGAACGTTGTCAACTTGTGTGTATTGCCTACTTGCAAAGGAAAAAAAACAAAACAAAACAAAACAAATGTGACATGACGCACGTTGGTCACAAGCTTCTACATCACCCATTTAACCCTTAGGTTTTAAAATATATATGTTATGTTTCTGTCATCAATATTCTTACGGCAGTGTATTGTATATAATTCACAGAAAAAAAAAAGTTTCGTGAAAAAAATAAATAAAAACGCGCCAATGAAACACGACTAAATTCACACACCTGCCGGGTTGTCTGCTCTCTCGGGGACTAATTACGCTCGGCCGGTTTTGCCAACGAGTGTGACAAGCGAGAAGTCTGGGTTTGCAAATATGACACCGCTGTCTTTTCCACTCCAGGACAGACAAAGGACAAACAACACCGCGTATGCAACTTGCTGCCACGGTAAGTTGCCGAGGGGAAGTTCCGGATCACTTGCTACTTAGCAGCTGTCGTGACTCTGTATTGTGAATGCAGTTTTATATTTAATACAGCGTCAACAGAATTTGAAATGAATGTGCCTTGTCCTTTATGTGATCCTGTTACTTTGCTGATATGATCTAAGGCAGAACTTGAAATTCAGACTCGCCCAGTGTGCACCGAAAACACCGATCAATAGACTGCTTACGAAGATATTTCTTCCGACCTTCTCCACGGCGAATGCCTCCTTTGTGGCCGCACTGGCACTGAAGTATTTGAAATAAAGTGTTGATGCATCTTGTGGTGGTTTGCAAGCAGAATGTCGCAAAGACAGCAGGCAATAGAAAGATACCTAAATCATTTCCCGCCACGATGGAGTAGTAGATGGTCTGGTTGATGGCGGCGGCGAGAATGGTCCCCAACGGCGTACCCACCGGCGCCAGCTCGCTAACGGGTGGGAACCTGCGGAGACACGTCAACGCCAAGATGAATTAGGTGAAGATTTTAGGGATCGATGATGAAGCCACAACTCCAGTAAACATCAGCATTGGTGGGTTAAAAAAAAAGATGCACTGCGATGCCTTGATTCATGAAGGAGGCGTTTCAAAAAGCATCACTGATCAGTACGCTTGGCACAAACATGACTTTCAAGCTTTCTTAGATTTATTTCCAGTAAACAGGATGCAGTATGGATTAAAAAGTTTGACGAAAT